TTAATAAATAATGCTCTGAGTACTTCAACGTGAGTAGAAGAAACTAACTTCTTCCTTTCTTCTTCCTTTGCTCTCTTAATCCCGCGCAACCTTCATTTCCGGAATGCAATAGTCCCATTTCCATATAAACTATGGGACTGACGGAAAGGTCTGTCACCGCCCCGTTCTGCATGCTGCAGCGAAGTGTACCTCCCACCCATGCTCACCTGTTTTTTCTTCTTCTTCTTCTTCTTCTTCTTCTTCTTCTTCTTCTTCTTCTTCTTCTTCTTCTTCTTCTTCTTCTTCTTTATTGGCGGTTGGCAAACAACTTGTGGTGTGGGTCAAAATGCTTTGTCTGTATTGATTATTACTTTGACTCTTATTTGTACTTGTAAATTCTTTTCCCTACCTCTCTTTCCTCTTGTGTCTCCTGCAGGTGTTTCTTGTTGTACTTAATTAGTTTGCCTTTATATTCTGTGTTCAGTCTGCATCTGATCATTGTTTTGTGCTGTCTTCAGCCAGAGTGTGTGTTCTGTTTCCATGTTCCCTCTGAGAAGATCTTTGTAAGTTTGAGCTGCCTTGCTAGCCTTTTTGTTTATAATTAAAGCTTTTTGTTACCTTTTTGAGCCTGCCTGCGCCCTGGGTCGTTCTGCCTACACACAAACCTCACATAATGATCTGACCAACAAACCCAGCCTGCAGGCAATTTTTTTCTGCTCCACCGGCAGAGGAGGTTTATTTTTCTACACCTCGCCGCTTCCAGGAGGTCCAGCCCTCCTCCACCTTACGCTGGGGGTCTTCGGCGGTTCAGTCTTCCACCTTCTGTATCATCTCCTCTGTCACCTGAGTCCCCCTCGGCTGGTTCTCTTCCCTCTCCCTTGAAGGAGCCGGTCCCATCTTTGCCGCCATGGGAGGAAGGGTCGACCCCCACCCCCAATCAGCAGATCGCTGATGATCCTCCGGTGGTCCTCCATCCCCGCGACTAAACATCTCCTCTGCCGGCAGATCGAGGACGTTATGGCGAGGCGTCCCGATCTGCTGCTGCTGCCCGGCCACTGGAGGGTCAGCTACTACGCTTGGCGGATCCTGGCTGAGCATCCTGAAACCCACCCTCGCACCCGTTTTGTTGTCAGGGGTTCCTGTGTCCGAACCGGTGGTTCCTGCTCCTGAGTCACCCGAGTCTTCTGAGTCGTCCCTGTCATTCGGGTCATCTGAGTCTATTGAATCACCTGAGTCTGTTCCTGAGGTTCCCGAGTTGGCGGTTACAGTCCCTCCTAAATTGGTGGTCCCAGTTCCAGAGTCGGTGGTCCCGGTGGTTCCAGTGTCTCCTGAGTTGGCGAGTCCCGAGTTGGCGGTCCTTGAGGTTCGTGGATTGGCTGCCGGCGTCTCCACGACATCTGGGTCAGCTGCTGTCGCCTCCTCTTCGCCTGGGTCGTTGCCCATTGCCCCCTCTTCACCTCTGTCATCTGTGTTTGCCATTGTGGACACTCCGGCTCCATCAAAGTCTGCTCCTGCCTCTTCCCTTTGCTCCTCGTCTGCTCCCGCCTCCTCCCTTTGCTCCTCGTCTGCTTCTGCCTCCTCCCTTGGCTCCACATATGCTCCTGCATCCTCCCTTGGCTCCACATCTGCTCCTGCCTCCTCCCTTGGCTCCACATCTCCTCCCGCCTCCTCCCTTGGCTCCACGTCTCCTCCCGCCTCCTCCCTTGGCTCCACGTCTCCTCCCGCCTCCTCCCTTGGCTCCACGTCTSCTCCCGCCTCCTCCCTTGGCTCCACSTCTGCTCCCGCCTCCTCCCTTGGCTCCACCTCTGCTCCCGCCTCCTCCGGTGACTCCACGTCTGTTCCAGTTGGGCTTCACTGTGGATGGTCACCTGGCCGTCCTCCGGATCTCCTGCCTCGTGTTGGATGGTTTTCGGGCCGTCCCCCTGAACTGTGTGTTTTGTCCTCGTGCTCCCTTGTGTTGTGTCCTTGTTTCCCCGAGTCTCGTCCCACTCTCTTTTTCAACGTCGGGAGCCATCGTTGAGGGGAGGGTCCTGTCATGATCTGTGTTTTTGCTTTCATTTTCTAGTGTTTCACTGTTCCCCTTTGTATCTTTGCCTTGCTCCTGTCCCGCCTATGCTCACCTGTTTCCTCTTGTGTCTCCTGCAGGTGTTTCTTGTTGTCCTTAATTAGTTTGCCTTTATATTCTGTGTTCAGTCTGCGTCTGATCATTGTTTTGTGCTGTCTTCAGCCAGAGTGTGTGTTCTGTTTCCTTGTTCCCTCTGAGAAGATCTTTGTAAGTTTTAGCTGCCTTGCCAGCCTTTTTGTTTATAATTAAAGCTTTTTGTTACCTATTTGAGCCTGCCTGCGCCCTGGGTCGTTCTGCCTGCACACAAACCTCACACTTAAACTTTGCAATGGGTGACAATGGGCATAAATCTCTTAATCCCATAGGCCATAATTATACCTGTTAAAGGGCAGTCGAGGGTCATTTAAAACAGCTCAGATGGCCACAAATGGCCAGTGTGCCACGCTTTGGACACCATTCATGAGCTGTCAAGCCAGGTACAAAGACACCAACAGGCGGCTTCTTTTGTTCCCAAAACACCTGAGTACAAAGTGACCCAAACAATTTGTTCTATGTTTTTTGTCATGTTTTTTATTATATTTTGTGATAATCTTTTCTGAAAGCTATTCATGTTTTTCATTTTTCAGAACCTGAAAGCAGAAAATAACTGCCATAGAGATTTATGTTGTAAAGACACATCATCAGAATTGTATTTTGTAGTCAAGCAGGTGTTTTTACCGAGACATGTGGGCAAATGCAACAGTTCAGATTTTAAAACTTAAAACTGATGATTCACGTTTTCATGACTTGGACTTGTTTGTCTTATTCGCTGCAGATCTCAGAAGCTCAGGACTCTGGCCAAAGCTCTGAGCCCAGCCTTTTTAAGGTTTGGGGGCACGAGTCAGGACTTCATGGTGTTCAACCCTCAGAGGAGCAGACAGCTGGATGCTGGTCTCACCTCAGGTATTGATGCAGTTCTGAAGTTGATAATGTTAAAAACACAAGAGTGGAGACAGACATTAAAGACATGTTAGTCTTTGAGGTGATGAATGTTCTGCTTTCATCAGAGGAGTCCTGCAGTGATGTGCAGCTGCCCTGGTGGATAGAGAGCAGACTGAAGGAGGACTGGACTCTGCAGCAGCTGATCCTCCTCAAAGAGGAGCAGCAGAGGAAGTACCGGAAAGTCCACTTCACAGGTGGGTCCTGATACTCTGGCAGCATGTCCTCCCCGAGGCTAAACTCAGCTTCTGATTGTCTTCCTGTGTATTAGAGCTCACGGTGGACATGCTGCTCTCCTTCACCAGATGCTCCGGCTTGCAGCTGATTTTCGGCCTCAACGCTCTGCTCAGGACGGCCGACAACAACTGGAACAGCAGCAATGCCCGCTCCCTGCTGCAGTACTGCGAGTCCAAACAGTACAACATGTCGTGGGAGCTAGGAAATGGTACGTATCAGCTGTCCAAATCACAGCTCAAACACCTTCTACCAGGCCTCAGAATCACTTTGTTCCATTCCAACTAGTTCACCGCCATAGGCAAGACCAAAGAGGTTGTCAAAGGGTGTCAGGGACAAGATATGTGATCTGCACAAAGCTGAAATGGGCTACAAGACCATCAGCAAAAAGCTTGGTTAAAAGGTGACAACCGTTAGTGTGATTGTTTAGAAATGAAAGACGTAAAAACTAGGCATTAACCCTCTTGATCTGAAGCTCAAGTTCTTGAAGGGTAATGAGAAAGTTGAGGGACCAGCTCACAACTACACAGGAGGAGATTGTAAAAGGCAGCTGGGACTACAGTCACACACATTGGCTATGTTCACACTGCAGGCAAATCTGACCCAAATCTGATTTTTTTTGCCCCATCTGACCCATATATCCAATTTTTTATGACATTCTGAATGCAACAAATCCGATTTTTTTTTTCTAATCCGACCCAGGCCGTTTCAGTATGTGGTTWTARATCDGATACATATCTGATGTTTTCAAAGTGACTGCAGTGTGAACGCTCATGTCACATTCATCTGACTTTTTCATCAGGAGGAGGGGGTGAAGGATCGATAAGACACTAACCTCAAGTCTCACTGTTTAAATCTGTAGCTCCATGTGTTTACAGCTCCAAACACAAGTCCAATTGCTTCATCTTTTTACTTTTCATTTTCCACGTAGATAGTATGAAAATAACGATGTCCAGCCTGGGTCACGGAGCGTATCGATCCTAAAGTTGGCTTCTCGGTCGATACTTTTTTTCAGCTCGTAGTTTCGTTTAAAAAAAAAAGCTTCACTGGAGCATCCCGGTCAGAGGCAGGTTCAAATATAAACACTGAACTAAACAAGCACGTCATAATTATTTAATCGGCTCTGATTAAACAACAACTTCCGATTCGATGTAGCATCCATGCTAGCTCTGTAAACAAACAAGCCGGCTGATGAGACGTCACGTCTTTCACTGCGCATGCGTGTCACATCAGTGCTGTGTAGCGTTCACACAGGGGTCTGATGCAGGTCACATWTAAAATGTAATGTGAACGTTCACACAAAAARATCGAATTTTTTCTAAAAATCGGAACTGAGCATTAAGACCTGCAGTGTGAACGTAGCCATTGATGCACACTGCTGTAGTCAGTTGAAATATTGTAGTTCCAGGAAGGTTCCCCTGCTTGACGAGGCCTATGAAGGGTTTTCCAGTGAACATCTATATGATTCAGTGAAGGCTTCAAAGAAGGTGTTGTGGTGATAGCAGAACCAAATACTGAACTATTTGGCATCCTTTATTTGCCATGTTTGGAGGAAAATAATTGCTGAGTAAAGAACTATGCCTCAATAGTAAAACACAGAGGTGGAAACATGCTTTGTGGTTGTTTATATTCTGAGTAAAAAACAACTTCACCACAATAAGGGGCCAATGGACTGGGGACATATGTTGTAAAATCTGCATAAAGAACCTTCTTCTTTTAGCCAGTAACCAAAGATGGGTCATAAACACATTTTCCAGCAGACTACGACTCAAAACAACCAAAAAGGCAACAACAAAGTAAAAAAAATAATAAATAAAAGCTAGGTCAGTTTTCAGACCTCAGTTCTAAAGACAATCTGTGGAGGAAGCTGAACCTTTAAGTTGCTAAATGGATTGACAGCAAAAATTTCTCCAGACAAACTTCTCCTTTCTTTTTCCTCTTTTGGTCGATTATTGCTGTGAAGTTAAAGTAATATTGAAACCGTATGGTTTCTTATCTGAGGATTGAGTTTCACTTCCTGTTGTGGTGTGCACAGAAACTGATGTCACCACGGCCCCAGAAAAATGTCAGCAGAAGTTGTCTGCCTGTTTTTAGAGCCAAACAGCTTTGAGAAGAAAGCCGGGATTCGGGTGGATGGATATCAGCTCGGACTAGATTTTGCTCGTCTCAGATGGATGATGTCGGAGTCCAAACTTTACCGGAATGCTGGGCTGTACGGACCGGATGTGGGCCAGCCAAAGGGCCGCAGGGTGGACTTACTGAAGAGGTGAGATCCAGATATTAACAACAACTTTAACTTAATAGAGTTTGAAGAAAACCATTGCTTGATTTGCAGCTAAACTTTTAAAGCTGAACAGAAATGATGGCAGGATTTCTACTGATGGGCAGTGGTGGATATCTGGGCTATGGTGAAATAAGGAAAGTGACACCAATGATTTATTAACCTACAATAGCTGCGGGCACAGGTCTCTGCTACATTTTTTTTAATTTTTAATTTTTGTTTTAATTTTTTTTGTCAAGTTTGGGGACCACTGGTTTAGGCTATTTAAAGTGGTATGCTGGTAAATGGAAAATTTATATCATAACAAAAAAAAAAATAGTTTGTTGGTACAAACCGGTATACCACCCAGCTCTACATTCAAAAACAAATTAAATTCAAACATGTTTCAATGAGGGCCGCACAATACAGTACATGAAAATTATAAACTTTGCACTCCCATGAAAGATTTGGCGATTGTTTTACACCAGCTGATCCAATTATTTAATAAACCCCAACTTTCTTTAACAGGTTTTTGTTTTTCTACATCTTGCTGAACCTGTTATTTGTATCAAATGTTTGGACTTTGCCTAAAATTCGATTATTTTGTCCTGAATTGTGAAAATATTTTAGTGTTTGTGTGCGAAGAGGCATAGAGAGTATCTCTGTATGTCTTCACGTGTACATTATCTCAGCTTTAATGAAAGCTTAAAAGTAAACCTGCTGCACTGAACAATCAAATAGTTGAACATTGAGTAACAGGGACACATGAAAACTGAGGTATTTTCTCTTGTAACTGATCCTCTGTGTGTTTTTGTACTGCAGCTTCCTGCAGAGCGGAGCCCAGGCTGTGGATGCCTGCACCTGGCACCAGTAAGCTCACCTTCAGCACACCCTGACTACACTTCTTTGCATTATTACATGTCTATTTGTCCAAATAAATACTTTAACTCGAAACTTTAGAGCTGCAGATGGATCTGCTTTTAGTGTTTCCATTCAAGTAAAGCCTGGCGGCCCGCCAGGGTAATAATACACAGGTGAAAGCACTGAATATTTATCAAAGATTTTAAGTATATCATCTTGAGCTACACTTTCAGAACAGCATTTAGTTTGGTTTGAACAAACAAGCAATTTTTAAGTGAATTAGAACAAAACATAGACCTAAAGAGTCACACAGATCACCTGGCTCTTATTCACTGTCTTTGCAACAATATATTAACACATTTTTCTGCTTGTTTTTAATGCTTTATCGCTGAAAGAAAGTGAATTACTATTTCTTCATTGCTCTATTCTGTCTTCTAGCTATTATGTGAACGGGAGAGACACATCTTTAAAGGATTTTCTGGATCCCGGAGTTCTTGACACTCTCTCCATAAAGATCAATGAAGTCCTGGAGGTAGACTGGAAAATAACAACAAGGTGTTTGTCTTAGTTTTTGAATGAAAGTGATGTTTCAGTGTGTACTTTTTTAAACTCTGCTACAGACAGTAAAGCGAGTGTCTCCAGGGAAGTCTGTGTGGCTTGGGGAGACAAGCTCAGCCTTTGGAGGGGGAGCGGCGGGACTGTCCGACACTTTTGCTGCAGGATTCATGTGAGTTGGGAATAAAGTGAACCACTGAGACTTTTGAGCTTTGGAATTCGGCATTCACTGCATGTCAGCTTGTGCTAATTCATTCTCGGTCCCAGATTAATCTACAGCAGTTGGATTACAACAACATAATGTGACAGCATACGTACACACAAATACCTGGAGGTACATTTCATCAGATTGTTGTTGAAACCATTAACAGTCAGAAAGTATATATAAAAAACTTTGTTTAAAATAGACTTAAAAGGCCAATATTATGTGTTTCTCAGGCATACATTTAAATACCATACCATAATAAAGTATCTATGTCACCTTTAGTTGTTATTAAAATGCTGTTTTTTATGTTTAAATAGAAAATATACTTATCTTCTCATCGCTTCTTCTTCTAAACGCCTTGAAATGGGCCTCTGTCTCTTTAAGAACCACCTTCCACCTCTGTCCCGTCCATTTCAGTGCGGCGGGGGGAGGTGCGCCATGATGCAGTTTACTTGGCATCTAAAAATACATTTCCTCAAAGGTATTTTGAATCTGAAAAGAGCTTCACTGAGTGAGAAGTGGTGTTAAAAGCAGCAGACAGTTTAAGTTTCACTTTCACTCGTTTGCTCTGTTACTGCCGAGAGCCTGCAGGAGTCATGGGCAGGAAGTGTGGGGTCGGGGGTGGGGAGGTGTGCTCTGTGATGAGGAAGCTCGGCTTGGAGACACATCCCAAAGACGTTTCTAGTCCCCACCTGTCATTTTGCTCCTCAGCATGGCTGCCTAAAAACGCTGCAGGATTTCTCAAACATGCATGAATGAGTCAAAGCAAGGCTTTGGGCATGTTTTTTTTTTTATGAGAGTATAACATTATAACATGATATAAAACTCAAAAAAGTTGATTTTACATGATATTTCCCCTTTAAAGTGCAGGGTGAGTCAAAAATATCAGAACACCCTTTTATTTCAGAAAGAAAGGGGAAAATGACATATCTGGACGGCCCAGCAAGCAATGGGTGAGGGGACCTATCTTAGGAAAAACTTGCCCTTGATCCAAAATGGCACCTTTCAAGATGGCGGCCAAGTTCTGGACATAGCCTAAAAGTGTGACGTTGTGTGCAGAATGACCAAGGGCCCAGGCAGAAATCCAAAAAGTAAAAAAAAAGGCTTTATTAAACAAACAAAAAGGCTGACGAGGCAGCTCAAAGTACTCACAAGATCACAGGGAGCAAACACGAAGAACAAAGAGACAACCAAACTGACTGGGGAACCAGCACAATGAACAGACAAACACTGAAGACAGGACACAGAATATAAAGGCAAACTAATTAGGGACAACAAGGAACACCTGGAGGAGACACAAGAGGAAACAGGTGAGCATAGGTCGGGCTAGAAGAATGACAGCAGGGGAGAGATACACAGGGGAACACAGAAACACTAGAAAATAAGGAAAATAAACACAAATCATGACAAAAAGATATACTTCTTTTCCATTACTGCAGGGGTTTTCAGATATGTAATTTTTGCCTTTTCTTTCTGCAATAAAATCTTGTCCTGTGACTTTTGACTCACCTTCTATATCAAATTATTATTCATGACATACTCTCACACCCTCTCCGTATTCTGCTGAAAATTGAAATAAAGGTTGAAGATCTTTTTGTGCTTTAATGTTCCTAAATGAAGATCTGGTATGTGATTGTACCTCTGAACTTGGATCTGTGCAGGTGGCTGGATAAATTAGGCCTAGGAGCCAGACTGGGCCTGGACATCGTGATGAGGCAGGTGTTGGTTGGATCTGGGAGTTACCACATGATTGACGATAATCTGGATCCTCTTCCTGTAAGACCTCCAAAGTGAACTGAATCTGTTTCGGTTTATGGTTGGACTCTAGTAGCCTTTCAACCAAAAACAGAATGATTTTATTCTTCATGATATGTATAATTAATTGAGCTAAGCTCTGACTGTGTCGTGCGTCTCCTTTCAGGATTACTGGCTGTCCGTTCTCTACAAGAGACTAGTTGGACCAGAAGTTTTGCAAGTACAAGCAGTTTCTGATTTTGGTCAAAGTAAAAGAGTGAGGTTGTATCTGCACTGCGCCAACAAAAAGAGGTAGGCATAGAAACACAGCAGCTACAAGCAAGACTAAATATGCTCAAACCAGACTGTGATTAGTCGAAACAAACTGTAGCGTTCATAAATCATAACAGAAAACTAAACTTGGAGTGAATGCTCGCTTCTGTGGAAAGTTTGCAGTTTTTTTCTAACCTTTTGCAGAAAGCCATGAACAGTTTCAGCTTAGAGATTTTGTGACTGAATTATCAAGATCCCAAATAACGAGTGTTAAATTGCTGCGCAAACTTTAAAAAGGTGCCATTAGTGGGCGCGTTGCAGGTGATCTACTTTGACTGCCTGTGCAAATACAGTGGGTAAAATAAGTATTGAACACGTCACCATTTTTCTCAGTAAATATATTACTAGAGGTGCTAATGACATGAAATTTTCACCAGATGTTGGTAACAACCCAAGTGATCCATACATACAAAGAAATCAAACCATAAATGTCCAGAAATGAAGTTATTTGTAATAATGTGGAATGGCACAGGGAAAAAGTATTGAACACACTTACTGAAATGTATCTAATACTTTGTACAAAAGCCTTTGTTGTCAATGACAGCTTCAAGATGCCTCCTGTATGGAGAAACTAGTGGCATGCATTGCTCAGRTGTGATTTTGGCCCATTCTTCCACACAAACAGTCTTCAAATCTTGAAGGTTTCGTGGACCTCTTCTATGAACTCTGATCTTTAGTTCTTTCCATAGATTTTCTGTTGGATTCAGGTCAGGTGATTGGCTGGGCCATTCCAGCAGCTTTAGCTTCTTTCTCTGAAACCAACTGAGAGTTTCTTTGGCTTTGTGTTTGGGGTCATTGTCTTGCTGAAATGTCCAGCCACGTTTCATCTTCATCATCCTGGTAGATGGAAGCAGATTTTTATCAAGAATGTCTCTGTACATTTTTCCACTCATCCTTCCTTCAATTATTTGAAGTTTGCCAGCACCATATGCTGAAAAACAGCCCCACACCATGATGTTCCCACCTCCAAACTTCACTGTTGGTATGGTGTTTTTGGGCTGATGTGCAGTGCCATTTGACCTCCAAACATGATGTGTATTCTGGCATCCAAACAGTTCAATGTTGGTCTCATCTGACCAGACTATATTCTCCCAGTATTTCACAGGCTTGTTTAAATGTTGTGCAGCAAACTTTAAAGGAGCTTCAACATGCTGTTTCTACAGCAGTGGAGGCTTGCGTGGTGAGCGTGCATACAGGCCATGGTGGTTCAGTGCATTACTTATTGTTTTCTTTGAAACAAACGTACCTGCTAATTCCAAGTCTTTCTGAAGCTCTCCACAAGTGGTCCTTGGCTCTTGGACAACTCTTCTGATAATTMTTTTCACTCCTCTGTCAGAAATCTTGTGAGGAGCACCTGGTCGTGGTCGGTTTATGGTGAAATGATGTTCTTTCCACTTCTGAATTATGGCCCCAACAGTGCTCACTGGAACCTTCAGAAGTTTAGACATTCTTCTGTAACCGATGCCATCATTATGCTTTGCAACAATAAGGTTGTGAAGGTCTTGAGAGAGCTCTTTACTTTTACCCATCATCAGATGGTTCTTGTGTGATACCTGGCCATCATTTGGGACTGAACCAGCTGATATTAACTTGCACTGACAAGGGGCAGGCTTGCTTTCTAATTACTGAGAGAGTTCAGCTGGTGTCTTGGCTTTCCATGCCTTTTTACACCTCCCTTTCTTCATGCGTTCAATACTTTTCCCTGTGCCATTCCACATTATTACAAATAACTTTTTTTCTGGACATTTATGGTTTGATTTCTTTGTATATATGGATCACTTGGGTATCTGGTGAAAATTTCATGTCATTAGCACCTCTAGTAATATATTTACTGAGAAAAATGTTGACGTGTTCAATACTTATTTTACCCGCTGTAAGAACATGTGCAAAAGATAGGCTGTGGAGAAGGAGGCAACTGATCCAGATGCAAGAAAAAGTCCTGTTACAAGGTGTTTTTCCATAGGAGAGAGGTCAGCAACTCCTGGCTGCAGACTCACATGACTCATTCTGGCCTAAAACAAGTGGCTTACAGCAAACTGAGACGGACTTGTTTCACAAACATTCCTGATTAATGTTTAAGTTTTTAAAGCTGCTACACTTCAATTATATGTTTTGTTCATATTTAAGTTTACTAGCTTTTATTGTGCCACTTTCATTGCTGCAAAGTGGATAAAATTGAAGAGGGGAATGATGCCCACAGCCAGTTTGCACCTGCCTCTTAAATGTGCTAAATATAAGATGCAAAAACAGCAACCACAATAAGTTTCATGTTTGACAAATCTACTGCAATGCTAAATGCTTACATTTACATCCCGTACTCCCAGTATCTTTGAACGTTCTGATAATCGTCATATATTCTGTATATTAATGAAAGCAAACACACTAAATCTGCTATTATCTGACAGATGCAAACCTTGGCGTACATGGTTTATAAATCAAGCTATCAAGTTTGTGCGTCTTTTTGCAGGCGCAAACCTTTGATAAATCAGCCCTTTTGAAGTTTAGTTCTGACCAGATAGAATTAGGTAGGATAATAAATAACTTCATTTTTGAAAAAAAAAGTTTCACAGTAGATTATACGAAAGCTATTTTATAAACCTTTACACCGCTGTCAGTTCCTCATTTTGTGGTTTTTCACGTTTTTCATTCTGTGAGTGCAAATCGAGGCAGCAGATGTTAGCTTTAGCACTTCCTGTGCAGCCTTGTGGCTACTTCTGGTTGTAATTTGAAAATATTTCTGTTGGAATAATCATATAATGTGAAGTTCATGAAAATGTGAAAGTGTTTGAGACAGTGTTCACATGAACTACTATGAAATGAAATATTGAGTTGTTTCAAGGCAACAAAAACCTACTTTGGTCTTGGCCTTGCTGTTAGTTAGGTATGATATGAATTATTTCTAACCTTTCCACAGAACACAATAAAAAATTTTAAACTTGTAGATTAATACAAGCAACAAACTCAGAAAATTAGAGTTATTTACATAAGTTGAACTCACTTATGTTTTGTTTTAAGAAGAAAATCTAGACCTATTTTTAGACCTATTTCTCTGCAACTTAAAATCTAGACTTATTTGACCATTTTTAGGAAACTCCACAAACTAAAATAACTATAAAATGAGTTGATTCTTTTTAATGTATTATCGTCATTAAAAAAACTTTAATGTTTAAATAAAACAACCTAATCTAAAAATCTGACAGCAGAGTATTGTTTTTTTAGTTTGATGAGACTTGTCCTCCTGTTGTTTGTGTGTTTACAGCTACAAAAGCAGATCTGTCGTGTTGATATCGATGAACCTGAGTAAGAAGGCGGTGAGCATCTCAGTTCCTGAACTCGTCTCCAACAGCACAGTGGACGCTTTTGTGCTTCAGTCCGACCAGCCAGGAGAGGAGGGACTCCGCTCCAGGTGCATTAGCCATCTCAATGCAGCCATTTATTTCGGATAGAGCCGTAGAGTCACGGGAAGAATCACGTTTGTCTCGTCTACTGCATGGTGTGCATGCTAACCACTAGAATGGCCACTTTACAATTGGTTTTATTGTGCAGAGGTCTTCAGGACCAGCAGCAACACTGGTGTGGCTGCACACTGTTCAAATCAAAAATAAAACAAATTTAAACGTTATTGCTTATATCACCCCTGCCATGCCATGAATTATGATGAGAAGCTTTATAGTAGTTTTTAGTTGATCCTTATAATTGACATGCTGTTGTATCATCATGATAGAGTTACTCTGAATATGTGTTGGGGATGACTCTCAGCTACTACTATACCAAATTTTAGCTCTAAATCTGTAACATTGACTGAGCTATAGCCATTTATGTGTTTGCTTAATTTGATTAGTTGTGGCGGCCATGTTGAATTGGCTTGACACCAAAAGGTAACTGGTTGTAGATGTCCATCCATTGACTCTTTTCTGAAAGTTTCATAAAAGTCCATCACGTGGTTCATGAAATATTTTGCTAACAGACAGAGCCAGTAATTAGTGGCAAAGTTTTAAAAGCAGATATGGTGAAATCACTTAATGCTTGGTGCATTTTTGTTTATTTATTTATTTATTTATCTATCTATTTATTAACCTTTATTCATGCATAAGTTATGACTGATGCTTAGTACCATGCCAAATGTATGCTCAATAACTGTAAAACTAGAGAAATTTCATTTCCTGTAAAAATGCAGCATGAATGCTGACATATTTGTAAATGCTGGTCTAATTTTGCTCGCTGAACTTTACCAGTTGAGCTGGAACCCAAAATTAGCTAAATGATTGCTAGAATTTGCTGAAGAGCCCAAATTGTGAAAACAAAAGCTTCAAGGGGCAGAGAACAGCCGACAAATGCAGAAATGTGCAGGCAAAATTCAAAAGGAGGATATAGTGGAAAGAAAATGTAAAGGAAGAAAATAAAAGTTTAAAGTAACAGAAGAAGTTGAAATTAGCAGATGAATATCCGAAAATGCAAAAAAAATTCTAAAGTCGCAATAGAAGCCAAAAGAAGCTGAAATTATAGCACAAAAGAGATAAAAAAGAACCATAACAAAACATAAAATGTACAGATTTATGAACATTTTGAATGGTTTTAAGGCTGGTGAAGCCACAGATGTGAAATGTTGTGCTTTCTGTGGTTGTTTACCACATTGAATGCAGGTAACTCCAAAAGTAAATCAGTGCTCGTATTTATAGAACTTCTTAGAGTGGGTTTTTAGACTTTAGTGCTGAAAATTTCTTAGATTTGCTCCTACTCTCAGACTTAAGTATAAGTGCCATTTATGAAAATTCTTAAGTCTAAGAATCACTCTTACTCTCCCAAAAAGTTAAGACTGCTCCAGAGGACTCTTAAGTGGCTAAGAGTTGCCACTAGAGGTGTGAGATGGACTGAAGACAGAGATCACAGCTGACCTCCTCCCCACCTGAGTGTTATTCTCACTTATAAGGTGGAAAACAGGTTTAATCAGAAATATACAAAAGAAACAAAGGTAAAAAAAAAAACTGTGCATAATGTTGGACTAAAAGGTGGATATTTGCATGTGGCTTTTAGAGAAAATATTAAATAAACACACACACACAAGAAAAAAATTGCGGTGGGATTAAACTTTTTGTTTATTATATTAACAATCGTGCAATCCAATGATGGAGAGCGTGTGTGTGTGTGTGTGTGTGTGTGTGTGTGTGTGTGTGTGTGAGAGAAGCTGGGGGGGAGAGGAGGAGGAGAAGGGTGCGAGCTCAACATGACCTCAGGCTCTGAGGCACAAAAAAAAACTTTAAAGCTGCTGAGTTTTTGATAAAAAAAAATCTGAGTTTTTCGTCTGTATTCATGATGCAAATGAGAAGATTTTATGTAATGCTACACACAATTAGTACAAGGTGACAACATTAGTGTGTTGAAAGTGAACTTATCTTAGGATTTTCACAGTTTTATCTTGACATTTCTCCGACAATATTCTTGAACATGAAATCCGAGGCAGTGATCGGTCCATGCCTGGGTTTTTCTAACGACGTCATCCAGGATCAGCTTCGCGGCACAGCCAGGTGTCGCAAATCAGCTCTAAGACTGACACTTAAGAATTACTCCCACACTTCACTTAAAGTAAGACTGACACTTAAGAATTACTCCTACACTTCACTTAAAGTAAGACTGAGACGCTTGATAACTGACTTTTACTCTCAGCTTTTAACTAAGGTTTTTTTTACACTTAAGTCCACTCTTAGCAGCATTCTTAAGAGAAATTCCAAGAAGTTTGATAAATACGGGCCCAGGTCTACATGTACGTCCGATTACTTTCTGAGTTTTTTTTAAATCCGTCCATGGGTTCGTTCCATACTTTGCTAAGAGAAAGACAAACGACACAAGTAAAAGCCTTATTGCCCTTTCACCTTCTGCAGCAGTCAGGTAAAATATTTGGTAAAAGATCGGATGGCTGATCATGTAATCCTCTAAGTTTAGCATCCAGTTTTCATATAAGGTGTTAACGGTGTAATTATTTCAAATTGAGCTGAGGTCAGTGTTGTTTTGTCCTCAGGCTGGACGTGATGGTTTAAATCCATCCCCTCAAATGTGGGGTCTATATATGCATTTTTTTTTTCAGGTGGGTTGGCACATTACAGTTGTCCCCACCTGATGAAGACTGGTATTTATGACAGCACTGACATGTGGCTGCGTGTCAGGCTGCACAGAGCAGGAAGACAACTGACACGTGTGGTTTTCAGCAGCAGCAAAAGGGTCGACGCTGACGTTGTGTAAAGCTTCTGTGGGCTCCACTGTTGTGTTGCTTCTAAGCAAGTGTCAAAAAAAAGAAAAGAAGCTTTTGTTGTCTGCAGAGCTGATTCAGGCCAGTGCACCATGAAGCAGTAAGTCACAACATCCTGCAAATTCAGGTCAGGACCTTCGGTGAACCGAACAGTGGGTCGCATGTGGTGACATCTAGTGGAAAAGTTTCAGACTGCAACATACTGAGTCCCGTTTGTTTTCATGCAGCACCCCCCCAAGTTTTATCCTCTTGAGGACCCAGGTCTTTCCTTTTTCAGTTCTCCTACCTATTTAGGAATAGAACCTCATAAATATAAGAACAAACGCAGATTTTTTTTAACAATTAAGAGTTAAAAACATTATTATTTTATTTAAAATAAAACATCAAATTAAAATGTATCACCTCTGAATAAGGACAACCAGTCTAAAACCAATGTTCTCAAATAAAGATGGAGATTCTCATGAGGTTATATTCATAGATATATTTTAATCAAATATTAATTAAATAATTTTAATAGTTATATAATAAATATAAAATTAGGCAGTACAGTGGCACAGTTGGTACAGCAACATATTGCCTCTAAGGAAGAAGGTTGCTATCAACTTTCTGTTCTCCAGGAACTCCAGTTTTCTCTCACAGACCAAAATCATATGTATTATATGACATAAAAAGCAAATAACTTAGTAGTTTGGGATAGTAGATGTAGTTTTGTAATTGTGCTTGTTTTAGTCTTTATTTCCAGTTTTGAGGGTTTAATAATCACTGGTTTTCTTCACAAAAGTAAACATCAACAAGCAAATAAAAATTGTAACATTTATAGAAGAGGTGATGCCTTTAAGTTTTAAAAAGCTTGTTCCTTGTAAATGTCTTTAAAATATGTATTTTGACATTTTTAAATTAAATGACAATCATTTTTTGAAGGAAACTGTCCCCATCAAATTTAAAATTTAATTCATTTAAACCCCCACATTTACCATAAAACATTAGTTCATCCAGTGTTTCTCTTGCTTAACAAATAAATTTATTTCATTTTACCTATAGAATACTCACATTAAGTGTTTTCCTATGTAGGTAAAATTATGTTTAACAACCTGTTAAAATCCACCAGAGTGCAGGAAATGGCATTTACTTCTTTAAAATTTTTCTGAAGGAGGACCCCCAGACCCCCCACCAGTGGATCCCCCCAACATTACCAATACTTACTCTTGTTTTTTTGTCATTGAATGTCATTAAATCAGTGATATTATCTGTGAAATTACAAATTGCACTTCCATTGGCAAGTCCATAGCTTAATTTTGCCGTAGTTTTCAGTTTGTCATTTTTACAAACACATTATAAAAACTCTGTAATAGATGTTAGTTTTGGTGTGCCACCCCTAGTTTTTCAGTGAACCCCCTCCCCCCACCCCATGGCCCCCGCTGAAAGAAATTCGCCACTGCTTTGTAGTCTGTTACGTCGCTTTCATGCCATTTGTTATCTTTCTACATAGGCTGGGTCAAATTTTCCTTTCAAATATTTAGATCCAGCATCAGAATTACTTTGATGCAAATATTAATTACAAGACTTTTTTTTTCAAACAGTGGCAGAAAAGTGGAATACTGTAAATACTACAGAAAATACTGTAAATGTAAACCAAAGTAAAAATGGATCAGATAATAGGAAATTAAGAAACTAAAAACAAAATCTGTTAGAATGAAAGAAACGTGTTCAAAGGACTTGAATCAGATGCAGGACATTGTACTTAGTCTTGAATGTTTATTTAGACACATATAAAGTTTTCTCACAGCGCTGTGCCCCAAGACAAAATGGCCACGCTTCCTTCTTCCAGCAAAGCTTTCATCGCGAGCCCAGTCCCACCCCAGAAACAGCGGGTAAAATAAGTATTCAACACGTCACCATTTTTCTCAGTAAATATATTACTAGAGGTGCTAATAACATGAAATTTTCACCAGATGTCAGTAACAACCCAAGTGATCCATACATACAAAGAAATCAAACCATAAATGTCCAGAAATGAAGTTATTTGTAATAATGT